AGGAAGGCGCACAAGAATGGCTAAATTCAATAATCCTTGGGAACATAGTTTCATGGAATGACATGGTGTAGAAATTCTTCCCACCTTCTCGAGTCCATCAAATCAGAAATGAAGTCCATACTTTCAAGCAAAGAGACCTTGAGAGCTATCCAAAAGCTTGGGAAAGATTCAAAGATTACTTCAAGAAGTGCCCTAATCTGAACATTCTTAAAGACTCTAAGATCTACATATTCTATACAGGTTTGAGACCTGAATTTTGCAACATAGCTGATGCTTTAGTAGGAGTGTCAATATTTGATATTCCATTGGACAATGCCTTGGACCTCTTTGAGAGAATTGCAAAGAATCAATCCACGTAGCCAATAGGAAGGAAAATGTTGAGGAAAACAACAAGAATACACAACGTTGACATAGCTACATCATTAGTAGCCTTGGAAGCATTTATAAGGAAGTTAGAAGCCTTACTCAGAATGTGAACATGGTACACCAACTGAAATAGGTTTGCGAAGGCTACGGAGTAGATCATTTTACAGAAAGATGTCATTTAGTCTCCACACATGTAATCCAACCAGTGGAGGTTAGTTATGCGCGAAATTCTCAGAAGCAACAAAATAACCTCCACTCCAACACATATAATCCAGGGTTAAGAAATCTTCTAAATATCTTGTGGACTAAGCATCAAAGTCAATGATAAAGAGGAAATTTTCAAGCAAGACTATCAGGATTCCAACAACAGCAGAGTAGTGATGAGTGTTCTACACTCATGATATTTATACCACTTAATTCGTTATTTTTTTTATCCTTGAGAGAGTTTTAGGGCGTTTTAATGTGTATTTTGATGTTGTGATATATGTTGATGAAACTGAAGGAAATAAGCAAAAGTTGGCAAATTGAAGAAACGTGCTAAATTGTAAGAGATCCAAAGTTCGGGGACTAAAGTGAAAATATTCAAAAGCTGTGCTGGATCTTGCAATCAATATTCGAGAGTGCTTGGAGTCAATTGAATGAAGGAAGAAGTCAAAGGGATCAAGTATGGTCAAAGTATGATCACGCATCATTTTCCAGCCGAAAAAGTCATGCTCTATATTTGTAGTCTAACATTGAGACTCATTTTTTACATACAAATGTTTGAATTGGAAAATGATATCCGAAGCATAGTTTTAGCCCTTTGAGTTATCTTTCCAAAACATCTTGAATCACCTCAATCGAACATCGGGAGAAAATATTATGATAAAAATACTGAAGAACTCGCAGTACTAAAATGTTATCTTTCCAAAGCATCTTGAATCACCTCAGCCACCACCGATGAAAATCAACAGAATCATGGGCGCTATAGCACCACAATTTTGGCGACGAGGAGCTGCCTATACGAGAAAAATAGGCTTTTTTGTTTTTTTTAGAGTAATGTTATTCATCCCCAGTGGAGATGAAAACACAGTTTAGGTGGCGCTAATGTGACATTAAATGACAGGTGAAATGAAAGGTGAAATTAAATGATTTATTTAATTTCACCTATCATTTAATGCCATATTAGCGTCACCTAGACTGTGTTTTTCCAACCCTTCCAAGATTTCATAATGATATAAATACAACCCTAANTCCACTTTTAAAGGGGGTGAGAACCGTTCAAGAAGAAATGGAAAATTCAACACACAATTGAAGGAGGCAAAGTGGACATAATTCAAGAAATCATAGGGAGGCAAGAACAAGACAAAGAAGAACAAAATAAGAAATTAAAGATCTACAACCTAGTTTTTCTATTCTCTTCCCTATGTCTTTCTATATTAATCCGTGACCAATCATTCTGTCATTTGTGACCTAAAAATTATATAATCTGTGATTGTGAAAAAATGTGTGACCAATTAATTTGGAATTTTATGACTGTGTGACATATAAATTTTGATCTGCGACCAACTAAAATTAGCTAGTTTTGGATAAGTTTATGCAAATAATCTGTATAAGCAGTGGTGGAGCCAGCACTCGGCGAAGTGACGCAGTCGTCCGTGTTGGTTTTGTAAAAATTTACAGAATGGATACCATCATTGTTGCAGACTTCAGTCACTGCTGGGAAGAAGCTGAATGGATAAGGGAAGGAAGAAAAAAAGATAAGTTTGAACTTGGGCCATTTTTCTTTTTTTTTAATTTTGACTTTTTTCTAATTAGATCCATTTGTTGCTTTGTATTGTACCTCAGATCCCATACCATACGACAAATTAAATTTTGTAGAAGACGGACAAAGATGAAAGGTGCAAACCAAACCCTATATGCTATATCTTTGACTCCCTCCTGCTGCGCGCATAGATAATAGCCTCGACACTGTTGTCGAGCCTTCAACCTTGTGAGTGGATTGGTAAACTTTATTTGGGTAATTTTGATTTTCATTTCTGAACTACACATTATTTTTTAGGAGCTCATTTGGGTGTGATGTTGTTTTAATTAATTTCAAGAGTAAATTACGCTAAACGTTTGTCTATCAAAAACTAGTTGATTTTAATATTTCAAATACATGAAATCCATGCGAATTCATAATAAATTATATTACATAACTCTATTAAAATCTTATGAATTCTGTGAAATTTTTTTATTGAATTCAATGAAATTCATAAAAAATATATAAACCTTAAGAAATTCAATAAAATTTGATTTCAGACACTTCTTTTAACCTCGAGCCAAATATGTCTGATTATTGCTAAATTTAATCTAATTTGTTTTCACCGTTGCACGCGGACTTTGTAACATGTTTGGGTGGGCTTAAAATTTTTTCAAATTAATTAAACGTGCTTCATGTCAATATATTTTCTTAAATCCATAACTTACTATCATATAAATGCTTAAAAACAATGCCAAACAAGCAATAAACTTAACAAAACATAAAATGCATGCTCGGCCGAATATTAGCTGGAGCATGGCTCATTCTCGAGTAATGCTCATCTATAAATGTGAACCAAATATTGGGCCTGGGCCTCATCTGAGTGGGCCCAGTCGACAAACATTGATGGGGTACTTACAAAAATATCCTTAAAATTAGGGGTGTTTTGAAAAATCATATGAAAGGTTTTTAAGAAGTAAAAAATACTGTGTAAAATAAAAAAGTGACACAATGTCACTTTTTTTTATAAAAATTATCACTTTTTTTACATACACTTAAAAAGTGATACAAACTCAAAAAGTGACAAATATTTAAAAAGGTAACAAAACACCAATCAAAATATATGTTTGTTATAAAAAAAAGTGAGAAATTTTTCAAAAGTAACAAACAATAAAAAATGAATAAAAANTTGTCACTTTTTTAAAAAAAATGGGCATAGTGTCACTTTTAAAAGTTAGTGTCATTTTTTATTATACAATCTCACTTTTATTAAAAAGTAACGTTTGTTACTAAAAAGAAATAGAAATTTCAAAAAGGTGATTGAAGAAAAAAAGTGACAAACACTGTGACAAAAATTAAAAAAAAAAGTGACAAATTTGAAAATTGCTAAAAATAATTGATGTTTCTAGTTCTAGACATTACTCAAAAACAAGAAGCACCAATACCTTAACAATAAATACACGAGGTACTTACAAATTTAAATATTTAAGCACAATATTCAACTACCCATATGTCTTAATTGCAAGGAGAAATATTCAATTACGAATACATCTTGATGACTGTTTAATGTGCATCCAATTAAACAAAAAAAATTAAAAAAAATCATATTGAATGCAGAAAAAGATCACCATTTGGCACGAGCAGTGAACTTCAAGTCTTCAACGCAGATGGCTGGGGAGCAAAATACAGTCCCTTGGTTGCAATTTTATGCAATCTACAAAGAATTATGCTGTTGCCGCACTAACTTTCTCATCCAACTCACTACTCTCCACATCCTCCAAGTCATCATGAACTTAAACCCAGTTTTATATCATACCCTTGAAAAAATTCGAGACAATCAAGAGATGATTATACTAAAAACATAATGGAGCTATTTAAGCAAACTTTTTATTCATACTTCGACGCATTCAATTAAAAAATATCAAATTTAAGGCAACACGAAAATGACAACTAAAAGGTAACTGCTTCTTCCCAACTTTCTCATCCTCATTCCAACAGCGATGCAGAATTGATTTGGGAGACCCGCAACTATTGAGAGTGAAGCTATTATACATGATTGACCCACCATTGCCAATCACTTCGCAACTCCTTTCTCCACGTCAAAAGTGAACTTTGAATCCAATTCCATCCCACGGACATTAGAGTGCAAAGCTACAGAAAACTTAGCTGGTTAGAAAGCAAGACAGTACAGCACTTGAGTCAAATCCACCAGTTTGAAATCATATCCAACTGCTTCAAAACTTGCATAGCTGAAGCCATCTTCTGGTGTGACGTGAATAGTAAAGACAGCATCCAAAACTCTATTTCCTCCAAAACCTCAGGCGACGAAGTCTGAATTTCTTCATGTTTGAATTTCAAATCGAATGTATCATAATAGTGACATTAATTGGGTGAGAGGGTTTCCTTTGGGAGCTTTTTGGAAATTGGGACTGATAGTTTTTGGAGAAAAGGGGAAGGGGTTGAGGGGTTTGATAGTTTTGGAACGTATTAAATACGTGGCTAAATCATTTAGTTAGTTAATTGTGTATTAATCACATTAGTAAATTTTTTAGGGTATTGGGCCTAATTATCCCAACATTGATTGGATCTTTTACTTGAATTGCTATGGATCATATAACATTACACCCGGGTTTGTGTAAACTATCAGTTGGATTAAGAAATATTTGGCTAGTTCAAATGAAGAAAGAGTGACACTACGATGACCACATTATGCCTCCATTTCTTCTCTATAATTTATTTCCGATTGTGACACTTTCTTGTTTTTATCAGCGTACTAATTTATTCCTTTTCGAAAGCGCCATCTCTACTACCCTTTTCTTCAAACAGAAATTCACTAAAAAAATTCATACTGGTTATTTTCCCTCTCTAGTTTCTGTCTTTCTGCAGATTCTTAATTGTGTAAGAAAAGATCATGAATGATGGAGATGAAGAGGCAGGGATTGATCGGCTTCCGATTGATTTATTGGCCCACATATTTTCTCTATTGACTTGCTTCAAAGATTTGGCTCAGTATGTTAATTCTTCTGTTACTTTTGATGATGTTATTTCAATTTGAGCTAATTTTCATTTTGTTGTATACAGGACAAGTAGCGTGTGTTGGAAATGGAGGCAAGGCGTGAAGGAATCACTGGGCACGAGTGAAAAATTGAGTTTTGCTGGATGGAAAATGGACGACGATTCAATCATGCGCCTGGTTATGCTTGCTAATGGGCTCAAGGACCTCGACATGTAAATTCTGTTCTTCTCTGTGTATTATTTGACTGGGATCTCTTGAACGATGTCGTCTATTTTCAACATGTTCCTTTGTATCAAATGTTCAGATCAAGGAGTAGATGGGGTTGCCAAATAACTGATCATGGTCTGTACCAGTTGTCTATGGCGAAGTGTATTTGCAACCTGTCATCAGTATCAATATGGGGTTCAACAGCAATCACAGACAAAGGAGTTGTTCAAATAGAATGCACAATCATGGTTCATTTAGTAATCTGGACTGTACAGTTTTTAAAAAAGAGGAAAAAAAATCTAAATATCGTCCAGTGTATCGTCTAATCCTATCCAGTATCAAGTACCAAACCAAAATCAACTTTTCTGTACTACGTCCACAGATTTCTAAAGCTATTTCACTGCAACACCTGAATATTGGTGGTACATTTATCACGGATGCATCCCTGTTCGCAATTGCAGATAGTTGTCCTCATCTCAAGGTATAATCCTCTGTTGAAACATAATCTTTTCTATGATACTCTATAGTTCAGTCCAGTATCACGGATCATAGAAACTCTATGTTCCATTGACACTGAAAGTACTATTTTCAATTTTGTTTGTTCCAGACTATTGTTATGTGGGGCTGTCGTCATGTAACGGAGAATGGACTTCGTGCTCGTAAACAAATGCCGCAAACTCGAGTCAATCAATGTGTGGGGTATGGGGTTGCCTCTGGACTACTTCATTGGTCTGCTTACAATCAGTCCAGCTCTTCAAATACAACCTAAAGGAATGCTACTAAATGATCAAAGGGTTCCCATATGGCTTCTATTTTAAGGAAGCACGCTTTTTTACAGCATTTATACAGTACTCTCAACATAATGAATCTGCTTTTCTGTTAACTGCTTTTCAAATTGGTTTGTGTTATGGTTGGCTTTGTTATTGAGAATGATTACCCCTAATTAAACACAGTCTTCTCCTAATTGATGAAAATTCACAAAGAAATTTCTTCTTGAGCTCTCGGGTCATCAACAACTCCCCCCGCCCCGCTCCCACAATAAGAACAAATAGCAATAATAAGATGATGAACAGGAAAGGGGATTTCAGCGATCGTTTGCACGAGTAATTCCAAGTGTTAAATTATCGTTAGGACAAAATAAAATTCCATCCGTCTCGTAAAGATATAATTGCTTTCTTTTCTTGCGTGTCCCAAATTATAAACTGCTTTCCTTCTTAAGGGTATACTTAATTTTTTAATATGCCCCTAATTAATGTTAAATTGAACTACATAAGCCGATAGTAAACTCTAACAAAAAAGTAGTAGAACAGATGAACTACACAATAAGGTTAAATTGAACTTTTGACCTTAAGTAAGGTCATGTCATACGGTATTATGTTGAACCACGTGTTAGTAAAGTTTGATTTATAGAACGAAATTATCATTTTTGT